GAGAGAGCCTTGCATGTCCAATGGACAAGGATTTCTTGAGTAGCTCTTGTATGCGTTGGGGATGCAGATAAAATGGGGAGGCAGCCCCTTCCCTCGAGGCATCAGACAGGACAGGATTGACTGGCTTAGGGCCACACAGTGAGTTAGGGGAAGAGAGAGGACCGGAAGTCAGGTTTCCTGATCCTCTGTGTACTATAATAATAATAATAATAAGAAGAAGAAGAAGAAGAAGAATAGCATGTTTCTATGGTGCTTTAAGTTGACAAAATACTTCATATCCTGGAATGAAGGTTGGTTGGTGGAGTGGAAAAAGGAACTAGATTTGGGGTCACAAAGACTTGAGTTCAGATCCCACTTCAGACTCCTACTGGCTATGTGACCTGGTGGAACGACTTTTTTGTGCCTTTATTGCCTCACTTGCATCACTAACAATCCTTCCCCGTGTCCAATCTATGATTTTATGCTCTTTTATGAGAAGGGACTACAGTCCCTGTGAGCCCCATTTCATAAGTGAAGAAACTTGGATAAGAGTAGGTAAGAAGGATCTCCTGCCTTGCCAGCCTGTGCTCCATCCCCTCTACCAGGCTTACTGTCACTACAGATTGCCCCATGCATTTCTTGAACATTGGACCTTCCTTAACTCCTGCCCCTTGAAGAGTGAGATGTGCAGGTGTGACATGCTAGTGATTCTCCTCTACTGGGGATGTTATCTGGCAGCCAGCCTTTAACTGTGAAATAAAACATTTATGTGAACAGATGTGCATCTCCATGAGGACATGAGGCTCACTTGTCAGGGCATCAGTTTGTTCCCTGAATTTTCCATCATCCTTGATTTCACCTCTTTGGGTCTCAGTTTCCTGGCTTGTAACATGAGAGATGACAGGCTCGTTTATCAGGTGTTTTGGGATCAGCACATGGAAACACTCCGTAAGTGTACCATATTTCAGATAAGACTTTGGTGCTGGGTCAGGAGAGCACGTAATGTTGCTCATTGAGGCGATTTGGCTGCTTGCAGCAGCTCTCAAGGAAGCAAAAATCTTACTGTAAAATGGGTCAGGGTGTGCCAAAGGAGGGAGCCAGCCAGCTCCAAAACGCAGCCCAAACAACGGAATTCAGAGCTGTTTTCTTAAGGAAGGGGCAATCAACAATTCTGAGTGAACATTGAACAGAGAGGGTGTGACTCAGGAAGAATAAATGGAAATGAATTCCGACACTCCTAAACCACCAGAGAGAGCAGAATGCGTGCTCTCTCTCTCCTCCCCCCCCTTTCCTTCTCCCTCTCCCTGCCCCTTCTCTCTTTCTTCCTCTTTCTCCCCTTGTCATCCCTCCTATTCTTCCCTCTCTCTGGTGGGGGAAAGCAGGGATTCTAGTTTATAGACCTGGTGAATGTTGGTTCCCAGGTCAAGTCACGTAAACAAGTCACCAAGTACCTGGGGAGATGAAGAAAGGCCACTCTTCCATAGTAAACCTGGCTAATTACTGTTCGTCGCACACTACAGACTAGGGGAGCCTTTGACCTTTTCTTAAGAATTATCTTCTGTTATCTGAATCTATAAGCTTCGAATTAGAGTCTGAATATCTGTTTTTGTGATTTTTGACAAACTTAATTACTTTATGCCTTCTACAAAGTATGTGGTGGGTGTTGCTATCGAGAGAGCGTAGATTTGGAGCTGCTAAGGATCATGCATTTACAGCTGGAAAGATTCCATTTTATTGACCAGGAAATTGAGGCCCAGAAAAGATAACCGATTTGTCCCAAGTCACTTAACAAGAAGGAAATGTCAGAGTTAGGATTCAAACCCAAGTAAGCCCCAGACTCCAAAGCCTTAGCACTTTCCCCAGCTCCTAGGCTGCCTCTCATCTTTTCTTTATCCTTGATCACTTAATAAGAACATTTTGTGTGACCAAGAATCATATCACATCTAAGTCTGGTCTGAAAAGTGAGTTTTTCAAGGGCTTATGCTATTATTTTGAAAAGGGATCAGTGAGAAAAAGATGAGGCAGACTTCCTAGGGAGAGAAAAGGTTAAAGTAGAGAGAGGAACCGTGCTCTCCAAGGCAAAAAGAATCTTCACGTACATGAAATTGGCTTTTCCCAAATTTCACTAAAATTGTTAAATGTCAGTTTGGAGGTCAGGGGGCCTGGTGGGACATTCTTTAATCATCCCTATTTTGGGTCAGCCCAACCTCCTTTTGTGAGCTGCTTCCAATCAGAAGAACAATTTCCATATGTAATCAGATGATTTTTTCTTCATTGTCAAATAGTTATTTTGGGCATCCAGTTGTTAACTTTGAAAGCTTTTCAGGAAGAAGTATAATGTATAAGTATAAAGTATAATGTTAGAAGTTTCATTGATTGGCATATTGGAGTAGTTAACATCAGAGAATGTAACCAATTTTTTTTTTGCTGATAACATTGGAACAAGACTTTTTTAAAAAGATAAGCATAAAAATGAAATATAGCTTTAGGGATCAAAATAAGCCTATTTTATTAGTAAGATAAGTGGCTGGAGAGCCAAGTTCCTATTGGAAGTCAGTCAGTCAATAAGCATTTATGGAGTGTCTACTGTGTACAGGCACTATGCTAAGCCATGGGGATACAAAAAGAAGCAATATAGAGAGAATGCAGTGACCACCATATTAAAACTCATTCTCTGGGCCAGGTGGGATATGGCACACCTAGAATTCCTGCTACTAGGGAGGCTGATGCTGGTGGATTGATTGAGCTCAGAAATTCTGAGCTGCAATAAGGCTAAAAGTCAGTCAGGTGTCTTCATTAAGTCTGGTACCAATATGAAGCCTGTGGGGAATTGGATGGGGGTGGAAGGAGCTACCAGGCTGCCTAAGGAGAGACAGGCTGGCCCAGATCAGACTTGGAGAAGGTCAGAGCCTCCATGCCCATTGGCAGTGGGATCCAGCCTGTGAATGGCTGCCTCACTTCCAGTCTAAGCTAGATAGGGAGACCCAGACTCAAAAAAACAAACAAACCCAAAATAACCAAAATAAACCCATGCTTTATGGGTATTATTTTCAGGAGGAAAATTGTTCAAGTTCATGTGGGCCATTGTTTTTAGCAAATTGTGAATGGACATTAGCCAACGATAAGGCAATCATTTGTCATGATTGCAAGGCAGAATTATCCAAAATATTGTCCAGTTTGAAGTTAATTTTTATCAAGTGGAAGCACCTTGGTTCAGCCCTCTGTTACCATTGCCTGTTTCTAAGATACCAAGGATGCCAACAAATCTTTTAAAAAATGAAGAACATGCTTTTCCTTTATGGGTCACCATTTAAGCTCAATTCACCCAGGCATAGTGAAAGTTGAAGTAATTTATTTGAGTAAATCAAGCAAAAAAAATCCCAATCGATCAACAGGTATTTATTAAGCACCTACTATGTGCCAGACATTAGACATACCACAATCATTATTTTGAGGGGAAATGGGGGAGTGATGGGTCAACCTCCTGCATTTGCTTCATCGAGTTAAATGTTTCCCCTCCTTTTGCCTTAACGTGCTGGCCTGACGGCTCCGGTAGGTAGGCTGAGATTAGCCCTGAGCAGCCTCAGTCTGCCTACTGATTGGAGATCAGACTGATTGCAACATTCCTTTCAACCAGAGTAGTACATATTTCTTGCTTCTGACTTGGAGATCTGATGGTGAATTAATGAGGCGAGTTCTCCCCTGCACTTGTCAGTTTGAAGGCCACCAACCAAGACACATCACTCATCCAAATTCTGTTCTCTGCCCTCCCACTCACCTCTTCAGTCATTAACACCAATAGGGACGTGTAAAGCCAGTGGAATAAAGGCAAATTAGTGATGATGCCGGATGAGCCGCTGTCCGGAGAGTGTGGAGGCCTCCTTGTAGTTCACCCTGTCTGATAAAAACCCATCTCACATAGATGAGGTTTTGGAAAGACTGTATTTAATTCAGCAAAGCATTTATTAAATTCTAGGCCCTGAACTAAGCCCTGGAGATACAAAGTCAAAAATGAAATATCCCCTTCCCTTGGAGAGCTTACATTCCATTCAGTAGAGATAACATGTGCACAAGGAAAGATCAATTTTCATAAATGCAAAGTAATTTCAAGAGGCATAAAACAATAACATCACTGTGGTATCCAGGAAACACAGAGGATAATGTGATACTCATTTCATATCTAGCCTGTACAAGCTTGTGTATAGATATTTGTCTGCATGGCATCTCCCCCTTTAGAGTATAAGCTCCTTGAGGGCAAGGACTCTGTTGTTTCTCTTTTTTATCCCCGATGCTTAACACAGTGCCTGGCACATAGTAGGCACTTGGTAAATGTTTATTAATTGGTTGACTTGAATACCTAAGTTTGAATCCTGACTCAGACATTTACTAGCTATGGGTCCCTTGATAAATCACTTAATCATCCTCAATTTCCTCATCTGTAAAATGGGGATAATAATAGCACCTATATCACAGGCTTTCTGTGTGAACCAAATGGGATGATATTTGTAAAGTGCTTTGCAAACCTCAAAGCACTATAGAAACAAGAATTAGTAATAAGATTACTAATGTAAGTGATAAGATTAAGAATTAGTAATAAGATTAATAATGGTGAGTCATTATTAATAATTTTAATTGATAATTATGTTAATAAGATTAATATGTAATAATCATTATCTAGAAAGGCCATATGTGGGAGGTAGCCCACTTGAGCTGTGCTTTGAAGGGAGACCTGGGTTCCATGAGGCAGAGGTGAGGAGGGAGTGCAATCCAGGCATTAAAGACCAAAAAGACACATGTACAGGGAAAAACTAATAAGCTTATTTGAGTGGAAAGGCAAGCCGATGGATGAAAAGCCTGTTTTCCTATGACCTCTAGTTGCCGAGTTGCTTTCCTCAATCAGCCTCCATCACTCAAATCCTATGTAGTAAAAGCAAAACAAAACACAGAATGCAGAAGCTTGCTTGCTTGGGGCATGCTTTCACTGGTCTTTCCAATAAGACTCTGACTCATTTTCTTTCCAGAATGAAGTTTCCATGTTGAAAAATGAGGTAGCCCAACTGAAACAGTTGCTGTTAACACATAAAGACTGCCCAATAACCGCCATGCAGAAAGAGTCACAAGGCTATCTAAGTAAGTAACTGGCTTATTTTCTTTTTCTGACTTGTCTCATTTTAGACTCAGCTTTTTGTAGCTCAGTCTTCTCAAAAAGGGACTCAAAAAATAAATTTTCCTATCCATATAGAGGCCAAGCTCAAGATGGGGTGTAGTCAGACCATTCCACCCTGGTGAAGCCTTCTTCATGTGCCAGAACACTGGTGGGAATCTTGGCCCCTCTCCCCATAGGTCTGGCGGAGTTTACCTTGAAAATCCAAGTTGGGAAATCCCACCCAGCTTCCATTCTCTTGTGTGGCCAGTAGAGAAACACTCAGTTGCCAATGGACTGCCAACCCTTCCAGATGTTGCTCTGGCTTCAAACAGCTTAAAGTTCTCCAGGAAAGATGGAAAGATGGAAATGGGAACCACATTTACAGCTGAGTTCCCTTATTCTGAAGCCCCTATGGGAAGGAGGTCTTTTTGCCATAGCTACCGCTGTTTCCTACCTAGTCCTTCAGAGGCTTCAACATAAATTAGAGAACTGAGTAACTTTGGATAGAGGAAGCAGGACCCACATGCCCAGCGGGTGGCTAGGACCTGAACCCATTTCCTACCTGGGCTCCCCACCTCCTCACAGCCCAATTGAGTTCCTTCAGACTTCTCTCTGTGGTACAATGGAAAGAATGTTATCTATGGAGTCAGCTGGCCTGGATTCAAATCCGGTCTTTTCTGCTTACTGCCTGTATAACCTTAAGCAAGTCAATCTTTCAGGGCCTCTGTTTTCATCTTTAAATTGAGGTTTCTGGTCTAGATTATAGATGTCAGATTAGAGGCTCCAACACTCCTGAGTACCTGAACCAGATTAAAATGTATTGGTGAATATTTAACAAAACAAATAAAATACAATAGAATATAGATAATGTTAATATGTGGTTTTCTATGTCTATAAAAGGCTGCAGGCAGAGGTCCTTATGTCCAGTTTAGTGGCTCCCTTTTCTACTCAAGTATGACACCACTAGTCTGGCTGACCTCTGAGATCCCTTCAAGCTCTCTACTTTCCTAAGACTTTATTTTCTCCAATGGCAAAGTTAACATTGACTGGGGGCAGGGCAAAGGTCAGAGGGTAATGGTTTAATATCAGCATGTTTTCGGATGAGTTCTTCATATTGAGCAGCTACAATATTCCTACCTCATGTGGGTCCTCCTCCCGTCTTGGTAACATACTTGACTGTCTGTACGTAACTAAGAGACAAGTTTGTATAAAAGATTTTTTTTTCCATGTACCATTTTGATCATGAAGAAAGCATGGGTTTGTTGGCATTTTAAACTTGGATCTCACCCCCTACATCGAAGGGGTGTTGGGAGGAAAACTCTCGTATAGACTTCAATGCTCGATGGGCATGGACTAGTGGAGAGAGGGCTGGCCTCGGCATCAGGAAAGGTTGGGTTCGAGTCTGACACCTGATAGGTGACTGTGGACAAGTTATTTAACTCCTTGATGCCCAGGCAACTCTCTAAGACTGTAAGTTGCAGGTCAGGTTCTGATCTTTGTTGAAGGGAGCTGGGATAAAATCACAGACTTGGTTCAAAATAAATGAGCAAACAGATGTTTCTGTTTTGCTTTGTTGTTTTCTTTTTAACCTGAACCTATGATTTCGTGGTTTGGGGAACTTTCAGCATGGGAGGCAGCCTAGCACAATAGAAGGGGTCTTGGATTTGGTATCAGAAGACCTGGATTCAAATCTTGACGCTGTCACTTACTAGCTCAGTGACATCCCCACCCCACCCCCAGTGACTCACCTATCAAATGAAAAAACTGGGTGGGGTAGTGCTGAGGTTCCTCTAGCTCTAAGATCCCATTCTCCAAGCTGCAGGTGTCCCTCCTCTGTAATTTAGAGTCTTACAGAACTGCCTGAGGTGTGGAAAAGTGAAGGGACTTCCTCTTTGGTCACTCAGAGAAGGTGGGATTGTAAAATGAGGAGATGTGACTTCTAGTTATGGTCACGAGATCGTAGATTTAAAACTGGAGGTCATCTGATGATGATCCCCTCATTTTACAGTTGAGGAAAATTGAGGCGAAGATGGCTTAAATATCTTGACCAAGGTCCCACTTCTAGGTCCTCATAATAATAATAATTAGCATTGATAATGTAAAACACGGTGTTTGGGGGCACTGAGAGCTTAACTGACTTGCCCATAGTGTTACAATTGGAGTGTCTCAGGGGCAGGACTTAAACCCAGGTCTCTTCTGACTTTTAGTGAAGCTAGCTCACTACCTGCTCATTGACTCTGCCATCATCATTATTATTAACATTATTAAGGCACAGCTCTGGAAAAGGAATTTGGAAACAGAGTTTCTACTTCCTTCCAAGAGAAAGTGTTGAGAAATTCACATACACCAATTTTAAAAAATGTTTCTCTAAGTGATTCTCTAAGCAGTCTGCAAGTCCATACAAGAATACCACATTACATTGGGGTATGCATATGCGTGTGTTTCCCCCAGGTCCCGAGAGCAGCCCTCCGGCCAGCCCTGTCCCAGCTTGCTCCCAGCAGCAGGTCATTCAACACAATACCATCACTACTTCCTCATCGGTCAGCGAGGTCGTCGGAAGCTCCACTCTCAGCCAGCTCGCCTCTCACAGAACAGACCTGAACCCCATCCTTTAAGACTTCCGGCTCCCCCGTTGCTCCAGAGACAAGCAGTGCCAGCCTCCTCGAGAGCATCCTTTTTCTGCTAAGGGCATTTTTAGAATTAACTCAAACCTGGAAAACTCCTCAAGCCCTTCCAAGACTGGCTTTCATTCATTTTTATAGTTATTATTGAAACGTGTCTTTTATACTTAGTTATAAAAAAAGGGAGTTATGCAATTAATATGCTATCTGCTTGGGAAACACTTTGGTGCTTTCTTCGACTTTCTGGTACCAGTTATTCATTGATAAAATGACCTCTTTCTGTACATAGCCGTGGCTTCAGTCTAACCCCAGGGCCTCAGATCAAGAAAGTGGGTCAACTCCAACGGTGGGCCCAATGGGATAATCCACTGAAATTCCTACCGAGGTAACTGGGGGGGTACATCTGGGGGAAAGCATCATAGCCAACATGGAAGAGTTGGCCTCGTGACATCCCCAGATTCCCAAGGTATATTTAGAATATTTTCACGGCTGCTGTTGTTGTTGGGTTTTTTTTCTTTTTTCTTTTAGAAAATTATATAATACATGGATGTCTGAACAAAGTGAATAAAATAAAACTGACAAAAAATTTCTCTCTAACATGTCTACCCCTCTTCTTTCTTTTCATTCCCTTGGCTTGAACTTTCTCATTTTCTCCCTAGCAAGTTTATCCTTTGTCCTTCCCTGTTTCACCAATGACATTTCTCCTTTCCTCTACATCCCCTTTTTTCTCATTTCCACCTACTTGTCCTCCCTTCCCCACCCCCTTTTCTCCCCTCTATGAGCAAAAACAAAAAAAAAAAGTTGTTTTTAAAACAACTTACTTCTCAGAACGATGGGCTAGCCCTGGCTTTCAATAGCCCTTCACCCACAGCTGGGGTTCATTTAAGCTCTCGGTTTTTACAAAATAGAAACCAGGAGATGTTTCGTGTGCCTGATTTAATGTTTTTAATAAACAGAGCAAGTTAGAGGCAGCCTCACCACAGGTGATATGCTATTGACAGGCAGCTGTGGGGACATTGGGAAAGGGAGCTTTGTTCAAGCCTGCATTGTGAGTTAATGCCCGATACGGGTAATAACATCACACCCTTGAATTACAATGGGTTTTATATGGCCTGTCTGTAACATTGAAAATCCATGTACTATATAATAATTCAGAGGGGCTCTATTCACTACACACGTTACGTCGTTCCATCATCGACTGCTAATAGCCTGAGATTTATTTTTCGTTTTAAGCCTGTGAAACCGACTTCACCATCCTGATGGGCAAAGGAAGAATAGCATTAAGTCCTGGACAAAAACAGTGTTTCCACAGGTGCTTTTCCTACCCTCCCATCACATGGAAAGTAGCCTTTGGCTCCAAGGCAGTTATACCAGGAGAATGGCAAAGAAGGTTCTCGGCTGAACCCAAAATGATTTCTCAATTTCTTATCTTGATGATTAGTGTGAAATTGCACCTTTCGATGTTGCCCAACGAATCAAGGCTGGTCTCTTTGAAATAAGCTACTCAGTGGCACTAACTGGTCACGATTCTTTTTCAATAGGTGTTGTGTTTCATTTCCATTTGGGGGGGGGGTCTGTGAGTTTATTGCCTTCTAAAGATCAGCACTATAGTTTTTCTCAAAAGTTCCCCAAGTGATGAATGTAAGTTCCCCCCCCCCCCTTTTCCTTACTTTCTCTCTCTCTCTCTCTCTCTCTCAGAGTGAATAGAGCCTCTTTGGAAGAAAAAAAGAAAAGTATGAGGATCACAAGTCATCATTTTAAAGACAGTTTATGTACTACACTTAACTCTTTATTGATATTTTTCCCCAACAACTCTTGCCATGTATGCAACTGCTTTCAGAAGGTTTTGAGTGTACCATGTAACTCATGACTTGATTATATAGTCTAAGAACCAAAAAAAAAAAATTAAGAAAAAAATAAATGTAAAGGATTTTATTATATTTTAGACAAACATATAATTTTAAAGTATTTTAAATACTGAATCTATAGTTCATTTTTAAAAAGTGCTCCACAGATAACAACTGGATGGGTTTGCTTGATTTTTACCTCCCAAGAAAGCACTCAAAGGGCTAGTTTGGGAAGAAACATGTCGTTTGTATCTTAGCTTTGAAAAGAGGAGGTATTTTTCATCAAAAATTCCTTTCTTAGGACTTCACCATCTGTCCTAAAAGTAGGGAGAGAGGATCGGAGGGGGAGATGGGCTGCTGCAGTGTTCATTTTATGATTTTTTTGATAATTTTTTTTCAAAGGGGGAGACACACACAAGCAAAACAAAACTTTTCTCGTTTTCCTGTCTATATAGTTCTTAATGAAACAGACTTCTAAAACTGTACTGCTAATGTCAAAAAGCCCAGGGAGTGACATGTCACTAAATCAAGGTTGAGTTTTCCTTTTTGTTCAGCCTCTTAATTGATATATTTCGCCGTTAAGCTGAAAGCCTCTGACGGTTAAGAACTTGCCTGAGTTTTTCTTAATTCAGCAACGTGACAGCCTGACTGATGGGCATTCTATATAGCTCAATTATGTCTGTTTTTTATGCTAAGCAGGCCAAGCCAACCACACGGTAGCAAAGCAGCCTAAACGTATAATTAGAATAAACTGTCTTCTTTCCAGACCAAGGGCCTTTAGGTGTATTCATTAGCAATGGGGAAATACAGGCAATAAAAGATGTCAGGGGACTTGTCAGGACTTCTGGAGATGCTGAACAGAATGGATGGCTCCCTGGCCAAACCCAATGCTGGGCAAAGCGATACGGGGTATTTCACTGACTGGACCAAGTTGGCTACTGAACACTTCAAGTAAAACATCATGGAATACTCTTCCTTTCCTAAAACAGTCCCTGCCCTCTAAGTCTTTCTGTTCAGTGTGTCTCAACACATAGGGTGATGACATTCTCCTCTCTTCCTTGCGTCTCTAGCCCCGCCTCCCTCCTATTCCTTTTGAAAGCCATCTCATCCGTGAACTAAATCTCATTTTCCCAAGAGCACCTCCTGACTAGAGGCCAAGAGAAAGAGTTTACAAAACTGCTTTTCTTCATCCAAATGTAGTTTATTCATTATCAACAGCATCTCTGTTAAAGATCCCTGCCAGGCTACCTGGGAACTTTGACAGGGCCTCCCATGCCTTATTCGATGGGCACTAACAGTAACACAGATAGGTATACCTGATGGTGTGTCTACCAGGGGGAGCCTCATGCCAATCGAGGCATCCACAATGTAATTGCTTCATGAAACATTTCTCAATATCCAAGGCCCAAACAGGTAGGGTGAAAATCCCGGCCCCTGTTGATTGCAGTAATTGTCAAGCTTTGTGTTGCAAGCCCTGTGTTTTTTCCTGGTCCTCCCACTTAGCATTCCCCCACTGCCCAAGCCAATTTATGCAAGCCACAGTCATAACACTGCCAGTGAGAGATGAGTGGTTGGTATGCTTTCTTGGCGTGTTTTATAAGTTTGAGAATGATTTAAAGAGGAGTGAATATTCCTAGGAGCTTCTCCATGCAATGCAACTAAATGCAGCCCATATTAGGAGTGGGGGCAAGTTAATGGGAGATGGTCAGGTAGTGATCTGCCCATTAGTTACATGAATTTTAGTATAGTAGCAGAGCTTGTCATTAATATCATAAACCAGCTTTTTTTGGGGGGGGCAGGAAATTCATGTTTTTAAGCAATTATAACTGCCATTAAAATAACCTTTCAGCTAGGATAGAATGTGCTTCTTTGTGGTTTAATGTCAGACTTTCTCAACTATATCCATTGAATTATGAAGTCAAGTTTGAGGACCAAAGCAACATTTGAACAGGAAATTTTTCATTTAGAATTTTATAAGATATTTATTAATAAATGTTATTTTTAAAACATTCCATCTGAGCAGTATTCTTGTGGAGGCTATATTCGTTTTTTGGAAGTTAAAGTGTTAGTTTAGAGTAAGCCCAGCTGTGCAGTATCCCCACTTTTTTCAGCGTCTCAAATGGCTATTCTCCATCTCTAGATGGAAAAGTTTGCTTAGGTGGATGCTTAAAGTTTTCTGGGGCTTCATTGTTCTGAGAGTTTCTGAAATCTGCTTCCGAGCACTGAGAAACAAAGATGGAAACTATTTCCTTTTTTATTTTAAAAGGAGCCCTTTTATTTTAGTCAGCCAACGTCAGCTAAAGGGAAATCCTTATTATAACTGGAAATGCTTTCTTCAGCCATCCGCCATGTCTCACTAATGTCCAAACGAATGTGTCTCAGCTTTCTTCTGTCAAATTCCTCCAGTGACTGCCATTCCCCTACCCTACCCAATGCTGTAGACTTCTGAAGCCCCATTGGGCCCCCATAAGAGAAGGGGAGGGAAATGGCAATTAAAGATTGGGATAAGAACCCTGCCTATCAGGAAAGTTGGGACTCGGAGTCTCTTTTCTACTTTTCACCTTATTTATATTTTTTAATTGCACTTTAGTGTCTTTGTTCCTTTTCTACTTTTCTTGTCCCTGCTCCCAACTTTTCTGTCCCTGGTCCTCTGGCCCTCCTTTACCTGTCTGTCTCTGGCCTTACTTCCTGTTTTCCCTCCTCTGCTCCTTTTCCATGACTCCATGCAAACCCACTTCTCCCACTGGCTCAGACATTGGCACTGGTGACTTTGACATGCTAGCATCTCCTGGTGGCTACTAAGCCTTGTTCAGTCTCCCAGCAGCCCATGATGAGGACTGCAAAGAGAAGAGAATGCCAAGGAGAAAACCAACCAGTGCTAATATGCAAAACTTGGGCAGTAGAGCCTCAGCTAAACTTTCAAAATTCCCTTGTTCCTACTAAGAACCAAAGTGTCCTAAATGGGTAAGGGGCTGGATCATTGGTCAGTATGGCAGATGCACTTTAGCTAGTTTCCGACCTAATGTAGCAATGAGGCCACTGAGATGCCAGTGGCTGGAGATGGACTCAAAGTCCCTGGAAGGCTCTGCTGCCTTCTTACCTCCTGAGGGGCAGCAACCCCTCCCTTAAGGCTCTGCCCCAAGGACAAGCAAATGCAAAAGCAATAATATTTCTAGTGAATTCAAATACCAAAAAAAAAAAGCCCCCTAATCCCCAAATTAAAATTCCCCAACTCTATCAGTGCATAGTCATTGTAAAGCTGGAAATGAGTCTCTTTTTTAAAATCTCTTTTTGTTTTTTTTTGTGTTGAGGGAGGGGGGTGGGAAGAAGGGAGGGGATGGTTTCCAGTGACCATTGCTAAAATTGTTTCCAGTGTTTATGCTTTTTGGTTTTGGTTTTGGTTTTTTAATTTCATGAATTTTCTTTGGGAAACGTGTTTTCTCACCAGGTCAGAAGAAGAGAGGCCCAACCCCTGATCTCGAGTTCAAAGATGGACTCGTTCAGGGGTTGGTGATTATTTAGTCAGACTTGTGCCTTCATGGGACAGGTTTCCAGAATTACAATTAGACCCGGTTCTGATATCTGGCATGTTAGAAATCAATCTTTCTATGTCTTTTCCTACACCAAGCTCACTTTTCCTAGATTAAGCTCTGTATTACAAGCTTTCTTTTCTTTTGTAAAAGAGTTTTGGACTCAGGGTGCTTACTGAGAAGGCGGAGCCCAGAAGACTTAGTGTAAATATCCCTTGGAAATGGCGGTGCGCCCCACACCCTCTCACATTCTGGTTTCCCCATTGAGAATCTCAACCCTGTACATGTGACTTGAGATGGTCAAAGGAAGAGGAGCATTGGGAGAAGAGGGCTTTCTCCTTGCGTCTCCGGTACAGTGCCTTGCACATAGTATGAAATGAATTCAAGTGGAAGTGATTACGGCAGAAGAAATGCTCCAGCCCATTGGAATGGTTCCGTCAGCTTCGTCTCTTCTCTACTACCCGGGTACCACTAAACCCATCTCTGCCTCATGAAGATGCTTCTAAAGAGTGGATGGGCTGCCTCTGAGAAGCATCTTAGAGGGCAGAGAGTCTTTCTAGAGAGGTTAGAGCTTAGGGGATGGAACTTTAAAGGTTTGAAGGTCCCCACCCCCAAAGCCCTGAACGTGACCGTTCCGGGATTAGCGAGATGGCCCACAGAGACCCTTTTTTTGAACGGGGTAAAGCGAGCGTTTGGAGGTCCCTCCAAAAGGTGCTGTCACTCTGAGTTGTGGGTTTGGGGCTGTTTGTCATTGTCAACAGCAAAAATTTCCGTGTTTGTTTGTCTCTTTGTTTAATTATGTAAAGCAACCACCTTCCTTCCTGGGAGGAGAGAACATTTTGGTACATACATGTAAATACTCGATGCCACCTTTGATATGTTTAATTTTATGTTAAGCTTTTTTGTTGTTTTTATTGTTGTTCCTGCATCGTGAACTCATGTATTGTTACAAGTGGACAATGGGTTCACTGAGACTGTTCAACTCGGTCAGATTTTTACATCTCTTTCTATCGAGAAGAGACGAGATTTTGTGCATTTGTACAAATGTTAATAATATCACTGCAATTCCAATATAATAAAGCCTTCAAGTGCAAAGAAGGTCTGGAGCTTGGTGTGGTGAATCTGTGGGTATGGTCAGGATTGGGAGGTGAGACCTCATCCCGGGGAGGTCCGGGGTCCCCTCTACCTTGCACACCTTGAGGGTAGGGAGAGAAAGAGAGGTGAGATTTTTTTCCCCAAACCATAGTCCTGGGGTCTCAACTAGTCACCTCTAGTCTCCCCCTGTTTTTCCCAGAGGTGATACATCTCACATCATCGTCCTCCCTGAAGGAAATCCAGCCCAACTTCACTGCCAGGGAAGAAAATTAGATGAGATGGGTTGTTCCTAGTCAAGGAGAGCCCCAGTGCTGCTTCAGGGCAGGCTGTGTCAAATAATCACTGTGTCTGGAGCAAGTGGGAGTGTAGCTCATAGCAAGCCTGTGTCAATCTCCCCTAAGGTGAGCAGGGAATTTGGTCCAGCACCCTCCATGTGT